TTCATTGTTCCTTCCGTTATCAACCCCTTCTTTCTCCATGTCCCTTTGTGTTCGTGTTTGCAAGTCTTTTTTTCTTTCCTCCTTGCTATTTATCCCTATTTTTCCTCCAGCATACCTTTCCTTGTCCCATAGGCAGCCTGTTCAATGTGGTCCATGTGTGTGTTTTTAGGGTTTTACAGTGTTTTTGAGAAACACGTATATTATTTAATTTATTGCCTTTTCATTAAATGTTTTAACGTGTATATTGTATGTTTATATATTTAATTTTCTGTATTGTAGGTATTTGAAATTTTATGTGCAAAGCGAGAAGGAAAGTTTCATGCTGGCATGACGAATAAATAAATTGAATTGAATTGAATAATAAACGTGGCCTCAGATAAAAGCCTTGGGGGGGGGGGAGGGGGCGTGCCAATGAGATAATTTTTTTAAAAGTAATTACAACGCGAGGTCTGTTCCATCCAAAGAATCATTTTGTCGGGACTCAAGTATGCTTTTCTGGAGTAGTTCATTTCACTCTTGACTGTACAAGCAGATGTCTCAATCAATGATTATACCGCGTTCAGGATCTTCTCAATTTAGCTGTTTAAAATTATGAAAAATGTGTGAGGTGCATGGAAAGCTCATGTACAGAACTACACAATGTACATCTGTTTCTCATCAACCTCGCCCATAAACATTTTTTTCTTTGTGATCCAAGTGTTTTGAGATGTTTTGTTTCATATTCACTGTAAGCATCACAAGGAGCCCAGTATTTCCTGAATTTTCGTAACCAATTCCAACACATCATTTTCAGGCGCTCAACTTCAATAATCTTTAAAGGGAATATACATCATTTGCTTTTGCTGTAATTTTCAGAAATGGATGGAATTGGGGGGTTGGAAATATAGAGCAAATATAGTTACACTGACTTTTTTGAGGTTTTGGGTTCAAAAATGCTATAAAAACCAAGAAAAACAATCATTTTCCTGTAGTCTGGTTCCCTGACTCCATTTAAGAAGAAACAGAGCAGTTTACATACATTGGGGAATTGTAAGGTCAGGGAACCAGTCTAGCTGGCTTGTACCCGTTCATAGGTGTGTAATCGATTGCAAACAAGTGCGATGGTCAATTGGGGCCAGTATTTGAAAAAAAGCCAGTTTTTTTCCAACGCTGGTCGGCCAATCAGCGTTGGAAATTGATACAAAAATACCACTTTTCTTGAAAATAACAGTATACCAGGTGCCATGATTTTACAGGATGCTTTACACTGTCATTGACTAACAGTCCAGCAAGGTATTTCAAAATGATTTGGTAGTTTTATTTTTTGATGTTTGCAAATGTTGTATTTTCCCTTTAATAAAGATTTTTCGCTTTACTTTCAAAACGGTCCATGCGTGCACTGTCCAACAGTTTTCCATCTGTGTATGACGAAAATGATGTTTAGACAAAAAAGACAGATCACGTTCTGTTAATCAAATTGCATAATTTTTTTCTCTGTCTATTTTCGTTTGGCAGCTGGGACCAAGTTCACTTTGGACCGAGTTGGTTTCGGACTGAGTTGACTCGAAACCATAGACGGGTTTCGAGTCTTTTTGGTCCCAAACCAACTCGGTCCCCAGTCAACGGTCCCAGGTCAACTGGGTCCCATGTCAACTCGGTCCCATGTCAACTCAGTCCCATGTCAACTCGATCCCAAGTTAACTTGGTCCTAAATCAACTTAATGGGGAGAAAATGCTCTAGCAAGGCACTATAGGGGCAAACATCAAATTGCGCCATGCTAGGGGCCATGCCATTTAGGGTACACCAACAATACGCGTTATTAGTGGTTATGTCATACACCGCTGATGTCACGCCTTGCCGAGGTCACACGTTCCACACAAACCTGGCCTTATGTAGCTATAGCACTGTGCCCACATTTTCATAATTTTTTTTATCCGTTGCAAAATTAAAAAAAAATTGGCATCCGTTATTTTGTGGGCACCGCTTCATATATAAAGCCAGGTTTGTGTGGAACGCGTGACCTCAGCAGTGTATGACGTACCCACTGTAACGCGTATTGTTGATGTACCCTTACATGGCACGGCCACTAACATGGCGCAGTTTGATTTTCGCTCCCAATACCTTGCTACAGCATTTTGTTCTCCAGCAAATTGATGTGGGACTGAGTTGACATGAGACAGAGTTAACCTGGTACCGATTTGACTTAGGACTAAGTTTGCTCAAACTGACTTGGTTTGGGACCGAGTTGACTCGAAACCAACTCAAACGGGGTCAACTCGGTCCCAAGTAATGCTGCAACTGATCCTCAAAGTTCAATTCGGTTCGGTGGTGGTTTGATTTTTTTCTCTCCAAACTTCGGCTCGGTTCGGCTTCGGAAGTGCATACATAATGTACATGTCCATGGTACAGTGTGTAGGGCTATGTATGAAAAGCATAGGCAGTTCCCCTGTTTGAACAAACACGTGTGTACCGCGCACGTCTGACGGAAATAGGCACCGCAATTTCCACATGCTATACAACACAAGTTGAAGGAGGAATCTCATTTTTGTTGTTTAAATAACAAATAATTGTAATAATGTGAGTTTATGATGTTGCGAAATGAAAATCGTAAATTGATAAATGTTACCTATCGCGACCCGCGGCCCTCAGGCTATCCCGGCCCGGTGATCTACATGTATGATCAAAATTTTCCCACACGTGCTGACTTGTTTTCCCGACGAGTTCCGTCTGAGCATGCCCTGAGCACTAAAAACTTGCTTCATGGCAATAATATGCTGATTAGTTTTGTTCTAAGAACAAACAGGTCCTGTTACTGTACTAAACTTATGAAATCATAATTATTTTTAGTAACAATTAAGCTGACAAATAGCTACCATAAAAAATATCAACTTTTCAATTCGTGACTTTCATCAAATTCTCATTCACGATTAAGAACTTATTCTGAACAAGGGAAAGGTTTCTGACTCCATAAAAAGTATTATTTGTAATTTTGACACGGTAAAAAAAACCCTGAAAATGCTGGTAAATTGTGCAGAGGAAAGCACACCCTTCACCGCAAATGGTTTGGTCCACACGAATTACGTCACGCTAGAACACGGCGAGATATCAGCCGCGCTGCCAAAGAGCACGCTTTTCATTGAGAGAATTGCAGGTGCGTACAAATTTTTCAAAGCGTATATACTATTGTTTGCCTGGCTAAAACATCGCAAGTAATGAAGATGAATGCGGTGACTTGTAAAAACGGTAAATTTAATCATCCGTGCTCTTTAATTTTTCCCTCTCATTGCAAGCTTTAGCATTCCTAGCACTATCAACAAAAAATTGCCGAACTCTTGCGAACCGGTTCGGTTCGGTTCGGCTTTATTCGGTTTGGTTCGGTTTAGCGGTTCGGCTGCAGCACTAGTCCCAAGTCAACTCGGTCCCTGGTGCCAAACAAAAATAGATGGAGAAAACGTCTGCAATTTGATTCACAAATCACAGAACGTGATCGTCTTTTTTGTGTATGTATTTTCAGTGGTTAACCTTTTGATGTACATATTTGGTTTAATCATTTTTTTCGACGTTGTACCGGATGTACCGGTTGTACCACTCTTTGAAGCAGCGTGTTTCACCGAAACTTCCTGCAGCAACAAGTGGCTCGTATCCCGCAATACACTGTTATTCCCATTAATACCTTTTTAACGAAATAAACAGTTAAAATGCTCCAATTTTGTGACTTTTCTTTTGGCGATATTTCCAGACTTCTTTATGTTCATGTTCATGGGCTATATTTTAGCTTATGCGTGGTACCCTGTCTCTTCAATATGCGTTCTTATATACCACCATAGACGGACCCAGGCTGCGTTAGACGACGTCTTCATCGTTTAAAACAACGTCCAGGCTATGAACTTCTGCTGCCGTAGATGGAGGAAGCTGAAATTTCGTTTACATATTCCTTGTGTCCAGAATTACCAGTACAGAGATGCTTGGTTTAGGAAAGGTAAATATGTCGGTGGGCGAAGTGTTTAAAGAAAATAAATTGCAGATCTACGCTTTCGTCGTAAACATCCTCAGTATACTGCTGTACAATGTCGTTTGAAAACTTCCTTACGCGCGCGCACCCATAGCAACTGTGTTGTGTACGCGCGCGTAAGTCTCACGCGAAGGTGGTTGAGCGCATGTGCAGTGCTGTATTGTTACAAGCTGCCGTAGGACTGTTGTAAATTTGGCCAATCATTGTCTTGCATGGGGCTGGATCAATGCTGGTTCAGCTAGGGGCCATTTTTTCGCTTGTTCTTTGAAGCTGGTCTTTATATCACCGTTAATACACCCCCACGTGATCAAGTCTCGACCAATCAGAAGCCACCGACTCTCCAAGGTATTTATTAATTTGAGCTAAACAGAGTTTCAAGATATCCGACTTTGAGGTAAGGTGAGTTTACTGTATGTAAGGCCATGTGTGTTTATGCATATGGTATAAATTGAGGACACACATGTGAAACATCCTTTCTAATAGAGGACAGGACGTCCTCGAACGGAAAAAGCGTACAAAACCAAAGGGAGTTGTTACAAAAAAGTTTACGTACGAATAATAGAACAAAAAAAGCAAGCCTGACCGCATACAGAGCTGCCAACTCTCCCTGATTCTGCAGAAAGTTCCCTAAATAAACCAGTCTTTTTATGTTCTGATGGAAAAAAAACCTTTTCCCTATTATGTTGAATGTAATTATAAAACTCTCCCTGATTATTGTACAAAATCTTCCTGATTTATGCAAATGTTGGCAGCTCTACATGCATGATCTTGTTATCCTTTACGACCGAGAACTTGGGACAACAGGGGATTTGCAATAACAATAACCCAGAGGACTTGAGCAAAGTCCTCTCCTGATTTTGATCTTCATTTGAGATGTTGTGTACAAACCTCATTTGAGATGTTGAGAAAAATTTAGAGTACAAAGAATAGGAACAAATGAAGGGAACAATACCGTAGGAAGTCCTCAGTCCTTAGCACAAATGTGCATCAAAGGCTCCATTTGCTTACCTGTGCACGCGCATCTGTGAACCTAATTGACTGGGCAGCTAGTTGGTCTAAATTAGGTGTCTTCACTTTCTCCCCATAACTTCCAAGGGCTGGTCGGAAATCATCAACTACCAGGAACAGAACATTTGGTTTAAAACCTGAGGACCAAAAAATATAAATAAATCTTAACACTGTACACATTATAAACTAATGTCCGAAGTTTCCCCGTTTTATAAAATCAAAAGTCTGTTTTCTTAAAATTGAAAAGTCCGTTTTCTTCAGGTTTCTTAAAAAACAAACACTACGATCACACACAACACTTGAAGTTTTGCTCTAGATGTCAACGCACACACGCACCGCGGGTCATACAGAAATTGTGCATAATACGTACATGTATACATGTCCATATCCATAGCATACAATGGAATGTCGTTCTGTGACGGCTTGCCCATGCACCAATCTGAGCACTGAGCACGCTGTGAGAGATGAGTAGGTTGCGTACAAATTGTAATATAATGCAGGCAATGTGGTAGTCTTGGTTTCAAGACGTTCTTTGCGGTTTTCAAGACGTTCTTTGCGGTCATTCTGCATGTTGAATTGCATGCTACCGTTCGTACACACGCTGCACGGACCGCACTGCAATTTGGAAGACTAGCAATCTGCATTTTGACACAAACTCAGCTGGTTCCCAATGAAATACAAATCCCTGCAGTACTGCCATATTACCAGTGATGCTGATGTCGCTGCACATTGTGCATATGCACATATATATGGTGGCATGGGTGGCTTGTGCGTAAAGCGCTCGCCTCTCACCAAGGTGACCACGGTTCGAATCCTGGCCGCGGATCGCATGTGAGTAGAGTTGTGCGTTGGTTCTCTCCTGTGCCACGTGGGTTTTTCTCCGGGCCCTCCGGTTTTCCTCCCTCTGGAAAAATCAAACACTTTCGATCTCAGGCTGTACTCCATGGTCATATATGGGTCGATGTGGCCGGCAGCCATAGGCGCCTTTACGTGCCAGCGGCCCGACCACGTTGTAGCCGTGTCCTTCGCAATTCAGCATACCAGCTGCGAGTAAGGATGATTAGCCTCCCAAATTATTATTATTATTATTATTATCTACTAGCGTGCGTTTGGCCAGCGATCGCTTCAGTACCAGTACGACGTGCATATTTGGTACCGGTATGATGTGCATATTTGTTTTCGTAGTGTTGTCTTCATTCTTTCTTAAAGAAAGAAATGAAGACAACTTATTTGGTTCTGTTCAAATTTTCATGCACTTTTTGGGCAGTTATAAGCGCGAGAGATACATGTAATTAAGATTTTTTATTCAAATAGCACAGTTAACTTAGTAGGCTTGGGCGAATCCAGCATTTTTGGAATTGATTCCGATTCTGTCTGGGAATCGCAATTCCACTCGGAATCGATTCCATAATTTTTTGCCCCCCCCCCCAAAAAAATTGGTTTATTATTTACAACTACATTTGCGATCGATTGCCAAGTACCAGCCACCTCATGCCATTCATAAAAACACAATTTTCTACTACGCAGTTCTAATTAACGTACGGACCCTGGAAACATTTGATGTTGATGCGACTCAACTTTGCCACTCTTGGACTTTTGGATGTAGCTTCAGAAGTTGGGACATTGCCAATGAATCTCTATACATGCATGTCCAGGTCCAGAAATTTACATGAATATTTTGAATTTTTGGCTTTTCCACAAAGTGGCGGAAAAGCCTTTGTTTTTGTTCTGATTTTTGGCTGTTTCGGCACTTTTGCCGAAACAGCCTTTGTTTTCGTTAAGATTTTTATTTTTGGCTGTTTCGGCACCTTGCCGAAACAGCCTTTGTTTTCGTTAAGATTTTTTTTTTTTTTTTTTTGGGCTGTTTCGGCACTTTTGCCGAAACAGCCTTTGTTTTCGTAAAGATTTTTTTGGGGGCTTTTTCGCAATTGTGCGAAAAAGCCTTTGTTTTTGTTCTCATTTTTTTTTTGGTTTTTCCGCAAAGTTGCGGAAAAGCCTTTGTTTTTGTTCTGGTTTTTTTTGGCTTTTCCGCAAAGTTGCGGAAAAGCCTTTCTTTTAGTTCTCATTTTTGGCTTTTCCGCAAAAAAGCGGAAAAGCCTTTCTTTTTTGTTCTCATTTTTGGCTTTTCCGCAAAAAAGCGGAAAAGCCTTTCTTTTTGTTCTCATTTTTGGCTTTTCTGCAAAAAAGCGGAAAAGCCTTTCTTTTTGTTTTCATTTTTGGCTTTTTCGCAATTTTGCGAAAAAGCCTTTGTTTTTGTTCTCATTTTTTTATTTGGCTTTTTCGCAATTTTGCGAAAAAGCCTTTCTTTCTGTTCTCATTTTTTTTTTTTTCATCTTCTTTCTTCTTTTTGTCGCCTAAACCCCATAGACTTTGTGCACGTTTTTTCTGGCCTCCACTTTTGGCATTAATCTTTGTCATACATCATTCTAAGTTTGCATAAGCATAGTCCCTATAGCAAAGATGTGTCCCGAAGATTGACGTCATGGTGACGTCATCGACTGATTTATTATAGATTTTTGAATATTTAATTTTTCCCATAGACTTTGTACACAGAAATTTAGAAAAAATTGTCGATTTTCAAAGGGCATTTTTGACTCTTTGCCAGTAATTCATTTGCACCAATCTTTGTCCAAGCAAAGACCCTATTTCAAACAACATTGTGTAATGATGACGTCATGATGACGTCATCCGGTGTGTATTTATAGGCAATTAAATTGTGACACTTTTAATATTTAAAAATGCATAAGAAATGAACCGTACGCGTCCGCAGCATTCTGTTACCGGCAAGTGGTAGAGTAGGTTAAGGTCTTTATTTCTTTCAGTGTGCGTGAAATCACGTGACCCTTGCTTCCAGTCGAAAAAGGCCAAAACCGGAAGTGGCTTATTATTTGAAAATGATAATAGATATGAACTTGCTTTCAATGGTGTTAGTCTCTTGGCTAAAAGTATTCTTCAAATCATCTACCAATGACGTCATGCAATCTTCGAGCGCCCTCTAGCGACAGGTTGAAAATTTGCAAAAATGTATTTTGAATAGATGTCTGTGGCGAAGTTTGTCGGAATCGCCTAAATATTGGTGTATATGATGACCTTGACCCACTTAAGACATGTGCGAAGTTTTAGGTAAATGACGTCATCAGACCGGAAGTTATAATAAAAAGACCCTTTTTCATTTGAAAATTCCTGAAAAATCAACCATGGCAGTTTTTATGTTAGTTTTTGCTTTAATTGTCGATTTAAGGGTAGGTCTAAAACATATCAAAGCTTCGAGGCAATAAGCGAACTCGGACATGCCCTGCGCACGCTTAAAACTTCAGGTTGACAATACCTCTGCTCTAAAACATGCACAGAACGTCTATATGTACATGTACATACATGTACGTTACGCACATACATCGTTTGTCAGTCAGCCTGCAGAGCACGTGTTGATGAGGTCAAATCCTGTCCACATCACAGTGACTGTTTTAGCCGATTTTCGGCTAACCTTGACAGATTTTATGTTTATGCATGCGCATAGTCAGGGGCGTATAATAAAAAAAATCATAATGCCGAAAAGCCCTATGTTACGTATTTAAAGGTGCAGTTTTTCTGCAGTGGGATTTTCCACAAGTCTTTTAGCCATATCTCAATACAACACTGATATCTTACTGAGTAGTTCTGAACTTCAGCCGAGAATTACTATGAGAAGGAAAGAGAAATCGTATTTTTTTTCGGTCTGTCATTCGATTGAACATATTCCTAAGGGTCAGAATATCAAGTAATATTTCATAAAAATGTTTCAGTTCAAAGGCAAATTACAAATTTAAAGGTGCAATTTTTCTGCAGTGGGATTTTGTTTAGCCCGTTAACTTTGTACACGTGTTAGCCCATTGACTTTGTACACGTTTTCAAGCCACCATTTCTATAACTTGGCGATCTGGAATCGTCATCAATGTTACAGCCAAGGAAGACCCTCATACAAAAATTATGCCAAGACTATGACGTCATGATGACGTCATCACCCAATTTTTTTTTATTGATTTTTGAAAATTTACGTGCATATTATGTTGTCCTATATCTACAGAACTGTAAGTCTGATTGGGTTGAAACTTGGTATGTGGCTAGACCGGGATGTGTTATAGGTAAAAAAACAAACAATTAGGTGACGCCATGATGACGTCATCCGGAGATTTTATATGAATATTTGAAGTTTTTGACCTTTTAGCCATATCTCATGAACGTAACATGCAAAATTCAAAATTCTTTGTGTATTTGGTCTGTTAGGTCAAAGGTATTTGTACAACATTTTGAACAAAATATCTGACATCATTATGACGTCATAAAAATGCGATTTTTCAAAACACATATAAGGAAAGGTCCGTCTGTCATGAAACTTAATGGGTAGGTAAATAATGTTACTAGTATACAAAGTTTAAAGTGACGTCACGATGACGTCATCGTTTGGTTTTTATAATTTTTAGATATTTTAAATTTTATTGTGCTTCCACAAATTGCACACTTTCTTTCATCGGATTGACATTAAACTTAATCGGTTCAAACCAAAATCACAATGACAAAATGTGCATTGAGAAGGGTCTTAAGGATGACGTCATTACAGGGCAAGTGACATCATTTGATGAAATTATACTTTAGGAATTATTCTATGCGTTTTGAACAACCTTTAACTGCATAAAGCATTCTGAAAAGTGACTGCAAAAGGACAAACGAAAAAAATATTTGTAAAATGCGAAAAAGCCCTGTGTTCTGTTTGCAAACAGACATACAGCTCTAGTTTTTATTTCTTTTTGTCGACAAAATCCCATAGACTTTGTGCACGTTTTTTCTTGCCACCACTTTTGGCATTAATCTTTGTCATACATCATTCAAAGTTAGCATAAGCATAGTCCCTATAGCAAAGATGTGTCCCGAAGATTGACGTCATGGTGACGTCATCGACTAATTTATTATGGATTTTTGAATATTTAATTTTTCCCATAGACTTTGTACACAGAAATTAAGAAAAAAATGTCGATTTTCAAAGGGCATTTTTGACTGTTTGCCAGTAATTCATTTGCACCACTATTTGTCCAAGCAAAGACCCTAATTCAAACAGCATTGTTTAATGATGACGTCATGATGACGTCATCAGGTGTTCATT